GCATTTGCTCGTCAAGTGAGATGTTGCGCATGGTGGCTAGCATCTGTTGTACGTCGAATGATGGGTCGCGGAAAACCATAACCTTGATGTCCTTGTAGTCCTCGGAGAAACCTTGCACACAGATGTCCTTGAAGCGGCGATCGGAGATGGTTTCCCCCATTTTCTCTAGTTGAGAGCGGAGGCGGTGTTTCTTGTTGAAAAAATCGTCCGGGTTCTCTCCTGGCTCCATGACCGTCCTTTCCAGGTCGTCCAGTTTAGCCCGGATCACTTCATCTGTCACTCGATTGTAGTTGGCCTTCAGTTCCGCGAATGCTGCCTGCCCGTCGCCGCTAAGGCCGGTGTCGTCTTTTTTCTTGTGTACGGTTCGTGCAGCCGACAGTTCGACGAGGCAGAATAGGATTGCGTAGAGGTTTTCGTTTGCTCTCTCGTATGAGGCGAAGGTGGTGTCCGAGGGATCAGGCCTGCGCATTCCCTTGAGAAGTGGCATGATGTCCCTCCGAGTAACGCCGACGACTACACCCAATTTCTTCATCCAGTCGTTGAAGTCCTCTGGTTTCGTTCCATCGAACTTGGGGAGTCCTCTGATGACGTTGGCCAGGTTTGTGGATCCATCACTCCAGATGCTGCCTCCGCCTCCAGTTTCCGATTTTGCTTCCATTTCTGGTTTTATCCTGATGATCTCGTCTTGAATATTTTTGTTGGTGTATTACTCAGCTATCTGTCGCTGAGATTCTTTCAGCCCCGCTCCTTCTATTGATTAAGAAGACTCCGGTTGCCGATTTGTGACCCCGCTTCTGAAACTCCTTTCTCACTTAGATAGAGAATTGACGAATAGAACTCCGGTTGTAGGCCAATTTGCGACCCCTCTCCTGATACCCTTTCCTCACTTCGATAGAGAATCGGTGAATAGGACTACGGTTCCCGGCCGACTTTCGTTCTTGATGCAGTCTGTCTCTGCCGCAGAAGTATTTCCTCGATGTTTAGATCGAGGCTTGCCGCGCAACACTTCGCTGTTTGTTCACCACAGAGGTACCCACTACTGTTGCAGCAGTGGTAACGTGTGTGTA